TAATAACTATTTATAAAATAAATAATAATTGTACATTATAATATGTATTATATATTTATATGTGCATAGACTAATTTAAAATAATTTTCACTAAATAAAAAAATATGTTAAAATTATAAATTGCCGTGAAAAACAGAGCAGAGCGTATGTATTACACACATTCATATAAACATATTTATACTACTCCAAAATCTTTTGATTACGAGTTGCCGGTTACGAATAATCTAAATATGAATATGTAAGTACATATCTACATAACATACATAAATTTATTTTAAATAATAACGCCTGTTAAAAGAAAACTGTAAGCAAAATTACACTTCCGTGCATGAAAAAAGTTGATTATAGTGAACTATTTGATTTTTTCTTCAAATATTTGAAGAACAACAAAAAAACAAAAATAAAACAATAAATGAAACACTTAGTAAGTAAATATTTTATTATGTAAGTATATTTATATATCTTATAATATGCACTACATTATTTCCCATCAACTTAGCCGGACTCTTTCTAAACCATTTTCTAATGTATATAATATTAATTTATTTTATGGATTTATTCAAGAACTGTATCCTTCCTTTAAGAATATTTTTTTTTTTTTTGGTTTTCTTATAAAAATTTAATATTTACTTTTTGAAATTATTATTCCTATATAAGCTAATATTTTTCGTTTAACCGTTATTCATTTGGTTTTTACATTACAATAATACATACAAATTCTATTGGAGTGTCCAGATGTACCCACAAGTACTATTTTATGATTCGAAGCTCAAAATTATAGGAAATTCCCTGAAACTAGTAAACCGTCATCAATATAGCGTTAAAAATTGGCAAAAAGAATACAAATAAAACATGAGTTTTAAGGACTACAGTTGCAAAGCTTCAATAGTGTACGATTTAACTACACAATATATAAAAAAAATAGCAAGGCAATATAAAACTAAGGCTAGAATTTAGGTAAAAAAATTATTGCAACCCTAGTCCTAATTCCATGTTGCCTAGTTAATTAAATTGTTTATTAATTAATGGTTTTTCCAAGACACTTTAAAATGAATGTCCTGTTCGTATTTCTGACCAAATTTAACTGGCTATATTAAACTCGAAAAAATAATAATTTATAAATTTACCACGAAATTTACAAAGTGTTTTAATATTTTTAATTTTCTAATCAAATACAATATTTGTAATTAAACTAAAATATAATTTCTTTAAAAATGTCCTGTTTTTATATTCAGAAATTAAGAATAGCCATATTAAAATATATACGAGTATAACGCAAGCATGTGCATACATATGCATACCCTCTTACTACTATACTGTATTAAAAGGTATATTATAAATAATATTCGTGTTATATAATTTACTATTAAAAAAATTACAAAAAATTGTTACCTAAAAATCACAAACGAATTCCCCATATTATTGCAGATTTATTAATATTTATATATGAAATAAGGCAATTTATTTTTTCCAGAACCGGAAGTATCTGTTTTTATAGTTCTGAACGATTTAATATTAGAGTAATTTAAAAAAAAATACCTTCTTGGAATGGAATATTATGGATATGTGGCTGAAAGAAAAATAGTATAACAAAAATATTAAAAAAATGTAATTTCAAAAAAAAAAAATTTATAAACTCCTGTTTCTTTTTACCAGTATAAATTATTATTTAAGTGCGGAATTATGAATTAATTATAAATATATTGTGTGTACAACATATACATAATAACATTTAAATACATATAATATAACATATATAACACATAAATATGTATGTGTAATAATGGTATGATATATGTATAACAGTTTTGATATTAAAATATTAAAGGAAGTAAATACGGAAGGTTAAAACTAACAAATTTTTCTCCTTCTATAAAGAATAGATCGGGTAAATAGAAAACCAATGAACTCAAAATAATTCTGTCCAAAGGCACTTCAGAAATATTTTCATTCCATTGGATAAACTGTTCTTGATAATAGAATTAAGTATAATACAAATGTAAATATAATAATTTTAAAAATCAATAAATTATTAAAAATCGTGTTTAATTTAAAACAATTTTATAAATTCTTATACTATTTTAACATTTTACTACTTCTTTGATTTACATTTTAGCTTTCATAACTAAAAGTATTCTTTTTAAAGATTATAAAAAGAGTAATAACTAATAGCGTATATATCTATCAGGCCACCAAGCTCAAAGACCAAATCGAAAATAAATTCCAAATTTGTATGGAGTTTAAATAGAAGATGTGTCGGAATTTATTTGTGTGAAGGAAATTGATGAACAATCTTTCTTGTCTTCCAAATGGAAGGATACTGAATTACAGAGTAAAATTTTTGATTAAGAAATAAAATTTAAAAATAAATTGAAGAAAAAAACAAAAAAATAATAATTATATTCTAGATAGCTTGTGAAACTATACTATATAAAATGAAAATCATAAAGAATACTCAAAGATTTCGCAAAAAAAATAAAAAAAATATTTCAGTTAGCATACTCCGAAAACATAAAATATTAAGAATTGTTTTGTATTTTTTTCCGATTCAAAATTCCGGAAAATAATTTCAGCTTGTAGTCCTGGTAGATAAACAGCGTGATTCTGAAAGTTACACAACAACATATAACATTGGTTAGAACATCGAAAATTGGTAAAACTTTTGTTCCGGACTGGGTACCAAATCTCAAGGGTTTATGAGTTCAAACGATTTTTGATGAATTTTCACGAAATTTTTACTTATTCAGGTTTTTTTGTTTATAACTTCAAACAAACAGTTTCATAATGACTTAGTATAGGACATAAATAAAAATACTGCTTGATTCTGTATTTTATGTACCTTCGGAATACCAAGCATTCGACTTTTAAAGAAAATAAAATTTTTCCCTTGATTTTTTCAGTTTTTTCTAGCTACATAATTTCGTAAGAAATTTTTTAAAACCTTAAAATTTTTATAGAATTTTGCCCAGCTGATTGAGCTTTAATTTAAGTCCTCAAACAATAAAAAATTTTTTATGTCACATAGGATGTAGCACAAAAACCATTTCAATGTCAAGATTTCAAAGATCCTTAAAGGCAAGGATTTCAATTTTGCTATCATTCAATTTTGGTAAGTCACTCGAAACAGTTGACATTTTGAAGAGCCGTTATTTTGATAAAAAATCTGAATTTTAATGTTTTTATTGAAATGTAACAAGTAATAAAAAAATTGAAACGAAATTTTAAACAAACTTTTAATTTGAAAAAAAAAAATTGATTTTAAAAAATTTTTGAAAATAAATACTAGAATTTTGTATTAGGAAAAACAAAAAAAAAATCTAGTAATCAAAAATTTTTTTTCGAAACTTTTCTTGGTAACGAAAATTGATAGGTTTTTTATTTTTGCCAATTTTTATAAGAAATGGTACCTATATGGTTTAAAATTTTTAAATGCATTTTTCTCAGATTGGGTGCAATTTAAAAATTTGAAAAAATAATTTTCGGAATCTAGACACCATCGGACATCTGAAGGTATAAAAATTATCCAGCTGGATCGAATTTTTAAAGGTATACCATACAAATTTGACATTTATTTTATTTAAAAAAAAAATTTTTTAATAGGAAAATTTAATTTTTTTTTAACAAAATGGAGTATGTAAATGATATGGAATTAACATTATTAAGCTAATAAATAATTAATAAAAAATTTAATGGAAAGAATAAATTTGAAACATATTTCTACAAAAGACTAAAATTGGTGTACAGTTGATGCAAAAAAAAAGAGATTTGAAAGAAGAAAAACATAAATTTTTTCAGAATTTGGTGAACTTCATAGGAAAAGTTGGTGTTTGTTTTGAGAAATTTGTAAAATTTTTTAACAAGGGAATTTTAAATTGAATTTAACTTTAGTTTAATCAATATCTGGTTTGATGAATTGAATTTGTGGCTCACAATATTTGTGGTTTTTGCACCATATCTTCTGTAACATAAAAATTTTTTTAAAGTTTGAGGACTTAAATTAATGTTCAAACAGCCGGGCAAAATTCTATAAAAAAATTTCAAGGTTTAAAAAAATTTCTTTAATAATAAAAATTAACTGGTTATATATTCCATGGCACCTGGACCTTTTTATTTTCCTATCCAATTCTTTAAGTTTCAATTTTAACTATTAACATTATTATTGCAGGGTAAATAAAAAATTTGAAATTGCGAAATGTCTTACGTTTATCATTGTAAGCCATCTAAGTAAAGATGAATTATCCAAAAAAATTTTTGAAAATGGTGAATGCCGCTAATTTGTTCTGCGGAGTTTTAAATGCTTGGCAAAAAATTTTATTATACTAGGCAAGAAATTATATTATATAGAGTATACAGTATAGGACATATGAAATACACTAAGATGGTAATAAATTTATATATGTAGTTACATACATACATGCATATATAGTTATTACTATATATAAGTATAGTGTTACAGTTAAACAAAGTTGTATTATCATTTTATTAAGAACATTAAAAAATGGCCACATCAAACATCATTGGGTTACAATCATAGTTACAATTGATCAAAATTACTTAAAATTTCCAATTTCTAAAAATGACTTATTCAATATACATATATCTACATATATATACATATTATTATATATATGAGTGTCTGTGTAAGTACAAAATTTTAGGACGCGTTCTGCAAAGATTCTTTATAATTTTATCCAGTGAAATAAATTTCAAAATATGTTAGAAAGAACAAAATAATAATCGAAAAAAGAGCAAACTTAATCTAGTAAAGAAGATTTAAACGTGTGAAATATCAAAACTGAAAATATATGGGAAAACCCCAATTTTAACTTGATTTTTTTGCAATTCCTCGTGTATTGCAATAGACATTATTCTAAGTTAGAAAACTTCGCAGTATTCGTATTTCCAAACTAAGTACCTAAGCTTAAGCAGTACTATATTTTTAGAAGTCAAATTTAATTTTTAATTCGATAACATGTAATGCAATAAAATATTTTCATCAATTATCCGAGGTTATTTTTATTTTTAACAAACTTAAATTAAGTTACATTCTTATATTCTTAAAAATTATTGGTATTTTTCCAGTATTTTCCCGTTTTGCCTATTGATAGTACAATTCTAAATTCATTCCATCATGTATTTCATCTACAAAATAGAAAATAATGTAATTGAAATTTGAATGAAGTATTTAATGGAAGCAAGAAATAAATGGACATTAAATTATTAGTTTACAATTATTAAGTGAGAAAAAATTAATTTGGTAATGATAATTAACATTAAAATAACAATTATGAATTCTGAAATCTTGCATTGTGCAGAGCTTATGAAAAAAAATATGTGTATATAAAACATTATACAATAAATTTTCAACTAAAACAAAGTTAAACTTACAGTCTGATAATCTGATTGGGTCCTTGTAAATTGTATACCATTTCTTTAAAACAATTTTGTCACTTTTAGTACCGGTTTGTGCTGCTATTAATTTTTTGAGATCTCCAATGGTGTCATCAGGATTGCACTTTACTCGAACCTAAAAATTAATGTATCCAATGTAATATGTACTTAAATTCAAAAACAAATAATGATATTATTACCTTTTTGCCCAAACGATCATTGCATGTTATTTCGATCATATTTGATATTTTCAAAGCAAAATAGAATCCAAATCAATTAAATACGTTTAAAAAAGCAATTTTTCTATTTTTTTCTTAGGTGTTGAATTTTGTTGATCTGACAAATTGACAACCATCAAGTGAAAATTGTCAAAAGTGTCAATATAATTTTTCATGTTCATAATCAGCATTACTCAAACAGTAAAGTGTCACCAGCACCATCACGTGTTAAATATAAGAATTACTTACTTACAAAACGCAGTAGTTATTTTTTCAAAGAAAAAGTAATATTTTTCACGATACTTTTAAATAATTGAAAACAAAAATAAAATGTTCCAAATATTATTCAAAATATACTGCAATTAAAATAAAACCTCAAATTTCACAAAAATTATGTTTTTTTCTTTAAAGAATATCGAATAATAATAACTTCATACTCATTAGAAAAATAAAATTCCGAAAAAAACCATGAACATAAGAAATAAGAAATGATAGAAAGTATCTGTTGAACAAAGCTTATGATGAAACTTAAATTTGAACACATGGGTTTGTTTACGTTTTGAAAAAATTCGGGAGAAAGCTGTTGTATTTTGTATAGTCTACATGAAAATAAAAAATTTTATCAACATTAAATGTTTTAGAAGACTTTTTAACACCTCTAAAATGGCAAATAGTAGATACGAATATGTAAAATCTTATGAGACTAATGACGAAATTTTAAAAAATGTTTATATCGTCGCGCGTGTCGATGGAAAGGCTTTTCACAAATTTTGCACAAAACATAATTTCGAAAAGCCAAATGATCTTAATGGTAACTTTTTTCACGCATTGTCACATTACCCTTAATAAATTTTTTAAATATGTATTTGTTTTAGCGTTAAACTTAATGAGTCATGCAGCTATTAATGTTATGAAAGAATTCCGTGATATAATTTTAGCTTATGGTCAGAGTGATGAATATTCTTTTGTATTTCGTAAGGAAACAGAAATTTATAATAGGCGTTCATCAAAGTTGTTATCATATGTTACAAGCATTTTTTCATCAGCATACGTATACAATTGGGGAAAGTGGTTTCCAAATCAAAAACTACTTTATCCACCGTGTTTTGATGGTAGAATTGTTTTGTATCCATCAGATAAAAATTTAAGAGATTATTTAAGCTGGAGACAAGCTGACGTCCATATTAATAATTTGTACAATACAGCATTTTGGAATTTAGTATTAAAATCAGGTCTTACAAATGTAGAAGCAGAGGCGAGACTCAGAGGAACATTTTCCGATGATAAAAATGAATTGTTATTTTCTCAATTTGGTATAAATTATAACAATGAAAATCCAGTTTTTAGAAAAGGAACAATTCTGTTGAGAAAATATGTTCAAATAAATGAAAACATAAAAAGACAACTCATTATACCATACTCTGAAGACATGATAAGAGATCACTTTTGGAAAAAACATGACGAATTATTAGGGAAATACGTTCCAGGAGAATATGAAATTTCTGGAGATAAAGAAATTGAACAAACATCTTCATTACTGAAGGTGCAAATAGAAGAAATTTTAGAATCAATACAAGCAAAGACGAAAATTGAATCTATGAATGTAAAAGTTAATGATTGAAAGTGTAAATAATTACAAAACAATCACCTATCAAGCTGAAAACTTGCAGATTATTCGCATCTATTGTATATAGAACAGTTAAGCCAAATACATAAATAATTTGCTAATCTAAACTTGGAATACTGGCAAAGTTAGCATTACGTAAAAGATTGGCGAATATATACTTAATGCTAATTTCATTTACATGCATTTTTACATAAAATGTAAACATTCAATAGCTCCTAATTTTTAAATATACATATTTTAAATTTTATTTCCACCAAAAATAAATTTTACCTTATTTTTGAAAAAACTTAAATATAAATTTTTATTTTCATTAAATTATAAGATGCATTTTGGAACAAGTTTTTTGTTTCAGTTGCTATATTTTGAATATATGATTGTCGTAATCTCTTTAATTCAGTAAAAGCTTTTTGTTTGGAACTCAAATAACGAAGAAATGTTTAAGAGGGCTCCAGTACATTATTTAAATATTATTTTTGTAGGACTCAAGTTTGAATTGAAAATTTATTTATTTATGAAGATTGCACGTCTACGCTAAATCGAATTTAAACTAATGCAGGTTGACTTTCTTAGGTACATAATCAATTTCAATGTCATAAAAATAATTAATTTTTAATTAAAAAATTAAAATTCCTATTCCAAGCTATCGTCAGTTAACTTTCTTAAGCCAGAATGTAACCGTTTGCTATGACAACATTATAATTGTTTTCCAATTTGTCTGTAAGTGAAACCCCTGTATTTTAGTATAATTTAGTTTACAATACATTAAGTAGGTTATATTTTCCATCAGAACGTCGTTTACTCATTTACACCTTTGTTAACACGAAACTTTTAAATAGATTTATTTGAGCTATACTACACTGAAAAACGAATAAATTTCAAAAAGGAAGACATGAAGTAATTAAAACGCTTTTCTTACAAAATTTAAAAGTAGTTCTATATTTTTTTTATGATGGGCCCAGTTTTTTTTCTTTTTCTCTTTTTTTTTAATTTGTTTTTAAAACTATCAATATCAACTTTTTTCATATAAATTATTTTTTTTATTTTTTTTTTTTTGTTTTAATATAATAAAATAATACGGGACACAATGTTTCTATCTCTACTTTTTTCTTTAAATAAAATTTTTATTTCTAGACATAAGTAAGTATGAATGTAAGTTATATTTAAAACAAATTAATCTGTCATTTTTCATAGTCGTTGAAACAAAAATACATAGTTAATTGTCTTACAAAAATTTAGATCTTATTTACAATTTTAAGATTTCATTGAAAAAGAAAAACTTTAATAGTTTTTGTATGAATATTTTAAAAAATTAAATGGACATGACAAAACAAATTAAAAATTATTTAATAAAATTGGAAGTTTTTTCTAAAAATTTAACAAAAAAAAAAGCAAATTTGTGTTGAAATTGTTTCTTATAATATAAAACCGTAAATGCTAAATTTATTTGCTTGCGCCAGGATAAAAAAAATTAAAAATTTTTTGTCAAAAGCAGTATTTTCAATGTACAAAAAAAATATCTTTTTAAATAAAAAAAAAGCATTTATATGTATAACAAAACTTAATTTTTTTACACAGTTTCTTAAATTCTACCATTCTTTTTTGTGCTCGTCCATTGATACTCCTCCAGGGCCTAATGACACAATCATAAGTAAACCACCAATGACAGAAAGTGTCTAAAAATATAAAAAGTATTTTGTAATATAAAATTCTAACAGAAAAGAAGACTATTAGTATTTTTTTGTAATAACTTACTTGGAAAAAGTCATATTTAAGAAAATCTCTAAGTGGTTTATATGAAGGAATTGACCACCAAGCATTATGATACAAATTCAATATTGTTAGCAGCAAAACTAATATTAAAGCTGACAATTTTGTTTTATAACCAACTACAACTAATACCATCAATATTGATCCAAGAATATCTTGAAATACCTAAAAATTATAAAATTTTGTAATTATATAAGGTCTAATAGCAAAATACATATAAAATGTATAAAATATAAAATGTATATTACCTGTAAGAAGCTTAATTCAAAACGGATTAATGTAATAAACATGAATGCCAATAAAATACGTCCAGCAAGTTGCATGAAATTTTTAGGTTTATTATCACCTAATGATGGTACACCAGCAAAAAGACTTCTTGCTTCATTTCTTGATTCTGCTAAAACCAATAATAAAGCTCCGATCAGTGCTAAATTTCTTAATAAAAATTGTAAGTCCCATAAAATTGAATATGCAATAGTCTAAAATAAAAAATATAAAATTAAAATATTATTAATACAGTTATGAAAAAATATAAGTGTATATATGAATACCTGTAAAACAACGATAAAGAATAATACGCCTACAGCTATTGACACTCTGAATCTTAAGATAACCATCACACAACCGCCAATTTGGCCAATTAAATTGATTAAAACAAATAATGTTGCTATAATTTTACCACAACCCCAACTCATATCCATATACTCTCGTTGTTCACTCCATTGAAACCACATACGAAGACCATCTTCCAAAAATGTAGCTATTAAACATAAGCGTGCAACAGTTGGTAAAACATTTTTGCCTTTTCGAACTACCTAAAAAACAAAAAAAAATCATTATAAGTATTTAAATAAATAAAAACTTATATACATATGTGTTTTTCAAAAATACAAATTAATATTTAAGAATCTACGCAATTCAAATAACATTTTTGATAATACTGCAGGGTGACTAACCACTTTTTCTCATAATTTTGTTATATAAAACTTAGACTCTGGATTCAATTAATTTGGACGCCAATAACAGAAGATCATATGTTTCAAGTTATTTACATACAATTAACTAATTTATTTCATTATGTATGTCTGAAACTAATTTACCAACTCCTTGAATTTGAAGAATATGTACAATATACGCAGCATACAATTTTGCTTTACTATTAAACTATGTAACTAACTACATATTTCAATATCATAAAAAGTTTAAATTAAATAAAGAGATAATAAATATACTAAGTAGGTACACACATAGATATTATCAGTCCACTTGATTTAGAATTCATATTTTTACGGAAATTTTAAAAAATAAAAAATTAGCATTAACTCATTTTTCTTTTTTAATTTTTCTATTGTAGCTCTATGCAATGCAACCATATGACATTGTAATATTCTTTTATTAATGATTTTCTTTTATTAATTTACAAACCTTATTGAATATAAGCTTTTTCAAGAAATTAAAGCTAAGATACATAGAATGGAAAATATACATCTGGAATGATGTTATAAATTAACAGGAAGCTGCATAGTGTTTTCTCATAAACAAATATACTCGTAATATAGAATATTTGAAATATAAAAAAATTAGCAGAGTGTTTCTTAGTTTTCAGTGTTAAAATTAATTACACATTTAATATTTTCTTTAATTTGCGTACTTTTATTTAATAATATTATTCCCAGAATGAAATAATTCAATAAAATCCTAAGTGATTTCATTGGAAATCCTTGATATTTTAGAACAAACATTAGAAATTATAATTTAATTCCCACATATTCCTAAATTGTATTGCTATATTGCAAAATTTTTTATTAATATTATAGCAAAACTACCGCCAAAATTTTTGAAAATAAATTATTCATCGAAAAATTTTAAAAATGAAAATCGCAATTATTCTTTTTTATTCGTTTTTCATAAATATTTAGATGTTTAATTCGGAATTAATGAATTAAACATCTAAATATTTATGGAAATTATATACTATTATTGAATAATTTTGTTTACTACACACGCTAAGTACCAAAAAAACTACTCATGTTTTCCATTTGTTTCTCTTGTTCCAATTCTCTTTAAAATATGTACATACGAGTATATTTATGTAATTATAAAAAAATTAATTTTATTCGGAACTGATTATCTCTCCTTTTTTTATATCTGCTTAATTTAAATAAGGCAAAATAAGAATTTATAAACAAAAAATCGAATTTTAGCACATTATATTTGAAAAGCTCATTCAAATTCTATACAAAATACAAAATATAGAAGCATTGAATCAACTAAATAATTTTGAAATTGAGGTAATATTATTCTCCAAATTCTCAAAATTGTTAATTTTTTATTAAATAGTTTGATGACGTTAAATTTTTATTATAATAGAAAATTGTTAAAAAATTAATTAAAACTTTGGTCACATAAACATGTAAATTGCAAATGAGAACAAAATATGTATGCGAAAATATAATTAAGAGAATGAATGACAATTTATAAACTTAAAACTGCTAATTGTATAATACGAGTATTAAAAGTACAATCGAATGACATTAGAGAAAACGATTAAAGATCACATCACAAAAAAAAAATAGCTGCTATTCATCACAAAATTTTGTGTGATAAAGAATGATTTGTCAAAATGTGAGAATTAAATACTTCATAATTAACACTTATTGACTTGGGATCCATTCACACATTAAAATAAAGAAAACAAATTACAAATACAAAGTACGGAACGCCAGACGTCTTTTTTAAGTGTTTTCACATGTAACAAAGGGATTATAAAGCGATTTTTCATATTTAGAGAAACTCATATTTTCCGACTTTTTCAAATAAATGCTTATGTGTTTAATGTTCATGAGCGTCTTTATTTGAAAATTTGAAAAAAGCCATAATTGAAATGCAAATTGGCTGTAATATTCTTTGAACTTCATTAAATTTCTATAGGTTTTTATTCTATTATATTTTGGCCAACTATTGTAGTACCATTAGTTGTATTCAAAATTAAATTTAAAATCTATGAAAATAATCTGCATAACATTAATAAATTAAAATAAATTTTCATTTTGTAAAAAAATTTAAAAAATTTTGAATAATGTTTGATTTATTTGTTTTCATCTTTATTTTGTAAAACAAATTAATTTGAAAATCCCGCGTGCATACCGCGTCTAAGTATCAAATTAATTACTAACGTATCGAAGTGCTTAATAACAAAAATATTAAAAATTTGGACCAGCAATTGGGTGATCCAACTGGACAGACGAAATTTTCTATTAAACAGAAATGAAAAATTAAAGAATGCTCCTTTTCATTTAGAAACAAAATCAATTACTCGTAATAGAATATTTAATTTCGGATCAAATCGGTTTGTACAATAGCACTTTTTCCTTGAACAATCAAAAATATTTTTTTTCGAAGAAAAAAATTATCCCAACTATTTATTAAATTGCTTTTATTAATATGTATATCAAAATATTTCAAATCATTGCATACATTTATGACAAGCAAACAGAAAAAAAAATAAAGAAACATTAACATAATGGTCGAATTCTGGGGTGAATTCCGTAAGTTAAGAAAAACAGTAATGTTTTTCGACAGCATGACATTTATCGTTAGCATTTTGCATTTATATAAATTTGGAAAAGCTTGAAGTTTGAGAAATGTAACTGAATAACTTTCCAGGGTTCGAGGTGAAAATAAAATTTGGAGTCAAACTGAAAAGTTTTCAATTTTTTTGGTAAAAGTGCTAAAAATTGACTAAATAAATTAAATTCCAAAATTAATTATTTATCCTATATAATACGCATTTAAAAACAAATCTAAAAATAAAAACATTATTTTATAATTTGTTCTTTTCAATTTATAAAAATTCTATTTTATTGATAATGATATGTTACAAAGCATAGAAAACCGTTCCTATAAATATATATTATAATTTTGGGTATTGAACTAAAAATATAATTAAAAATAAGTGGTACCTAATTTATAAAAATAATATCATGACTGTAAAATAAGTAATATAAGTATTTATTTGTATACACATAACAAATAAATAGAAAACCAATTATTGTCAAATGTGGTCATTTTTTGTCTATTTATATACAACAATAAATTCACCTTGGTTCTCCTTACTACCAAAAGAAATTATCAAAATTAGAATAGAATTGCCAAGGTGAATTAGAATTTCCAATTAATTACTATTATTTTTTACTCTAAATAGTCTAATTTATTTTATATTATTAGTAAAATAAATTATTAAAAAAAAAAAGTACTTTAAAAATAAGAAAAAAGAATTGGCAATAATTAATAACAGCCGCAAATTAATTTATAAAACGAACACTTAAAAAAAATAAAAAATTATTAATGATTTGCTTTTGATGTGCCAATAAAAAAACATTACTGTTTGAGTGCTAGACATTTACATATGTACATACATATATATTTACTAAATATGTTCAAATATATAGCTTATAAAAAAAATTCGATACTAAATGTATCATAATAAATATAAATCAAAAAAAAAAATAGAATAAAAAATATTTTTTTTATTTTTAAAGAATTTTAAAATATAGCCAACATGAAATTTTGAAAAAATTTATCCATCAAAAAAATTAATACAAGTAAACAACAAAATGTGTGGTGAATTTGTTGATTTCTATATATACAAGATGTTTCAAAATATATTGTGTTGTTTGCATTCACTCTAACCGAAATGATTTTGATATAGTCCCCGCGAATATTTTTAAACTGTTGCTTTGTAAAACAAAACTTTGTAATTAAGGTATAGCTTGAACAGTTTTGGATACAAAATAGCTGGGACAATTGCACAAAAAATAATAAAAAAAATTAATTTGCCGCCGAAAACTCGAGTCAACTTTATTCAATTAGTTGATTCTAACAACTTTCTTTTTCGTATTGAAAACTCATTATTAAGATTTTTGAGTGTAAAATTTTTAATTTGTAATCAAGTTTATTTTGAAATTTTTGAAATCACGAGAGTTCGAATTTAATAAACAAAAATAATAACAATTTGAAATTTATTAATAATTCACTTATAGGTTTCATAATATAAAATTAAATATAACTAAATACATTATTCAACCAGTATAGCTATAAGTAGTTACACTCAGTAGACACCTTGTAGATACACAGTCTTCAATAGCAATGTTTTATATAACATAATTATTATTTATACCACTCACTTCTGATTGTACTTATATTAAGCAAATAAATTATAGATATACAAACTTAATAATTAATTATTTATTTGAACATTTGCTTTTTATTTAATTCTTATTTTATAAAAATATTTTTATATAATTTTATATCATATAAATAATTAAATATTTTATTATTACTATATATTTTGTATACAAATTAATAAGTTAAATGCTATTACGTATATTTATGTACTCAAATATACAACAATTTGCATAATGTATACTTATATTTTAATTATATTGTATAAGAAATAAATGGTTGACAGACTTGAAATACTTACAACCCTTATCAATTTTTCTAGTAAATAAGTATTTACATTTTTATTGTTTACACACTATTGAATTATAAATAAAATAACACATAATATTTTTATTGTATTAAAATAATAAGGACAACTCGACCATATAATTTTCGTATTTAACTATAACTTTGCAAATTATAAGCAAAACATCAATTTTTAATTCAAATTAGCATAGAATAAGCTTTTAATAATCAATGAATCAAAGTAGAAAAATTCATGAAACAAGAATAAATTAAATTTTTTTTTTTTTCAGTAAATCATAAAAATTATCTAGATGATCCTATTTCATTCTATATGTATCGATTACTG